CATGTGCTTTTCCTCAAGATAGGGACTGCACCATGTTATAAAGTAGAAATAATCTATGCATACTTACCATTTCATCACATATAAGGAGCCTTCAAAAAGTTTGAGGAAAAATTCCATTACCCTGAATTCTATTTTTCCACAAACTTTCTGAAGCCTCCACAGTCCTGGTGCAGCACTGTAGGATACGTGCTGGATTGTTAACCACAAGACCAGTGGTTCAAACCTACCAGCCACTCCTTGGAAACCCTATATAGGGTCGCTATGAATCTGAATCAACTTGATGGACTTAACGACAGTTAAAAAGACAAGGGTCGAGACTTATGAAAATTACTTTTTACTGCTCCATCAAGAGCATATTTTTAAGTGATAGCAGCATGTTTTTTCTGGAAATGTGTATTAGTGAAGAATACAATCATCATTTGTACAGAATAGCATCAGCACTTTTCCATTGCTTTTGCACCACCAACACACCGAAAAGGCCAATAACATCTTAGTATTATCATGAAATAGACTTGTCCAGACAAGCCCCCTGAAAGGGTCTCAGAGACCCAAGGGATCTACAAATCACACATTGGGAACCACTGACAAAAATTCCAGAAGGAAAACCAGGGAATGAGTGGGTACCAGACACCACCTCTGGAGAGATGCCAGAGGCACACAGCTCACCTCACCTGGGAGGACTTGAACACTACCTAGCACACAAAAGGCACTTAATAAGTAATCCACTACAATTTGATGAACTTGACCTATGCTTGTGGATGTAATTGCTCAAAGGAGGAAACAAATCTTTACAGCAAGGATCATTTCCACTCCCTCAGTAAACATGGTTGACAAGGATGGGCAACTTACACATTAGCTACCCAAAATAGAGGTGGGCGGGGGAGGACTACAAAGGAAAGAAGGCTTGCAAGCTTTCAAGAGGGAGCCTAGATCCAGAGAGAGGGTGGAGGGGATGGTAGAATCTCCATTGAGTGGTCTCCAACCTGTCTGAATGGGGCTGATGAAAGGAGATGGGGGTAAGACTCTTGTGGTATAATAGTGAATGACTGCTATCAGGACAGACTGTGAGTGTTGCAAATGTAAAGGTAGACGTTTTACAACAAAAGGAAGGAGTGGTTGATCTTGCAGTCCAGGAGTGGAGGACCCTGGGACCATCAAGGGAGAAGAGCGGAGTATGGGATCCTATCCAGAGAAGCAGTGATGCCAGAGATGGAGGCAGAGACAATAACGTGGTGAGATGGAGTGGCTGGGGGACTCTGACTCTGGGAGAAAGAGGTTCTGTGTGTTGATGGGCAGCGCGCAGGCTTGCAGGGTATACCCTTTGGTTATTTGATCATGGATGCATGCAGGGAATTGTAATCATTGCAACAAAACAAAATAAGAGGATGAATGTAAAGCTAATGTTCTCCC